AGTTGATTAAAGCTGGCTAATTTTTACAAGATTTCCATTGGACATCAATTTGTATGGAATTTCTGCTCTAAAGCAATAACATCAATTTTGAGAAGAAAAAAAAAAGGTAATTATTCTTTAATACAATAGACAAATAGTTGAGGGGATTAATTTATTTAAAAAGAAATGTTACTTTATTGATAGTTGCATTTATTAGCAGGGATCATTAATCAGTAACCGGTGGAAGGAATCAGAGTGCTTTTTCTTGCCCATTTTTATTTTTAACTTTTAAATTTATCTTTATTGTTGAAAGGATTACAGATGTCCCCTGCCCCCCCATTGATTCCCTCCTCCCCACTCACACCACCTCTCCAGGCCTTCACCACTCTATTGTCTGTGTCTATGGGTTATGCATATATGCATATAAGTTCTTTGGTTAATTTTTTCCCACATACACTCCTTCCCTCTGAGAATCCTCCATCTGTTGCATGCTTCCACGTCTCTGGAACATGCAGCTAAAAGCCCGTCAGCTCATCTTCCTTGCATTTGTCAGTCTGGTAACCAGTAAGTGTCAAAGACTGCTGTTGTTGAGGAAGAGGTTTGAATATTTTTATGTGAATATAACTATCAGGACCTACCCGCACCTGAAAGAAAAAAACAAAGAAAAAACAGGAGATTCATTTGCATGGATCTATGACAAGTGAGAATCTATAGACTTCTGAAGACCTCACTGTGATAGCTTTTTCGGAACAGCATTCCTAGACCAGCCTCCTTAGACCCTTGATTTTCATAAACCTGCCATCTTATTCCATGAGAGAAAAGGCAGGCTAAAGGCATGGCAAGAGGCATAGGTCCTAGGTGTGTTTTATTTTACTATAATCTAGGAACAAATGAGTTGCATTTCATTTTTAAAGATGCACAGAGCAAGAAAACAAGTGACAGTCTTTTGGGTGATCCTGACTTCCAAACTGGGACACTTTATTTGCCACATAATTTAAGAAGGGAGAAGAAATGCAGAATTGTCCTAGAAAATTTGAGATTTGTGGTTCTCATATCTATATTAGAATCTACTTTTAAAATGGCCACTGGTAGGACTGACCAGGGCCCAAGGGGTGGACAGTCTGTTCTCACTTCTAAAGTAAAGAGATATTGCTGGGAAGTTACTGGTATGAAGATTCAAATGGTAGTTTGGGCATGAATTCAGGACCTAGAAAGTCATGGTAAGAATTACCACTTTTGATCTTGGTTAAGACCATAAAAGTTTTGTCTTAGAATAATATTTATTGTGCTCTGATGTCCCTTCCTAACCTAATTTTAACAAATGCCACTTATCAAATGTTAAACATTGATAATGGGTCAGACACTATAATGAGCATTTTACATACATGAGTATATTTACTTCTTATTATGGGCCTGAAGAAAGGTGGATCAATGATGATTTTATACATGTGGAAGCAAAGCAGATTCAGGGAGATTAATTTTTCATAAATCTCTCAGCTAATAAATGACAGAGCCAAAATTCAAATCCAGGCTCCAACATTTATGTTCTTTTCACTCTACAGTGTAACTTTTTAAAAGCATTTGTTCTGTGCTTCAAACAGGGCACCAACCTTTGCATATATTATTAGAAGCAATAGTTAAGTATCAGACTCCCTGGGTTCTGCTTTTATAGTTGTGTGGCCTCTGTTAGTTACTTCACCTTCCCAGGGCTCAATTGTCTCATCAGTAACACAAGGAAAAAAAGCATACTTATCCAAGAGATTTGGTTGAGAGGATTAAATGAGATAATGTTACAATCCTAGATCTTAGAGCAGTGCCTGGTACATTCTACGTGCTAAGTAAATTTTTGGTTCATTTATTCCACAATACCCTGCAAAGTAGGTTATTATCTGCTTTGTGCAAATAAGGGAATGAAGGCTGGAGAACATGAGGAGCTGCAGTCACACAGGTTTTGATAGTCAAACAAGTCAAACAAGGGTTCAAACCCAGGACCAAAACTTACAGTCCTTCCTTTTTACCACCTGCCTCTTCATGGGTACTTGAGAAAGACCAGAGAAGGTCACATCACCATCAAGACCTTAAATCTAGAGAGTGGCTCAGAGCAAAGGGATTAACAGCTAGACTGACAGGAAGTCTGAGGGAACTGGGCTCAGTGACTACAATCCAGTTGGAGAAATTTGATAGCAGAAGGAAGGAGCAGGAGGGAGGGAGAGAGTAGGGGGAGAAAAGAGATGGCAAGAGAAGACTGTGGTTAAGACTGAGCAGGTGATCTTAGGGAGGAAATTGTCAAGATAGTTTTCTGATGAGTTTTTTTAAGAAATACACAAGCTAATTAATATGTGAAAGTTATGCACTTAGATTAATTATATATTATTAATGATCCCAATTTTGGTGGAATGTTTCTTATTGAACAAAATCATTTTTTCATTGGAAAGCATTCTTTTCCAGCTGTGAAGAAAGCAGATTGCTTTCTGAGCACAGGGCAGGCTCTCATTCATGTGCACCTCCTCCCCCCCCC